AACTTTCAGGGTTCAATTTAGTGGGTCTAGTTTAAGACCCGCTGAATCAAACTCAGAGGGTGCCCCCGTTGGTGGCGGGCACTCCTGCTCCTGCCAGGAGTAAGGGAGGCCCCTGGGAGCATTTGCTTGAATCAGGGTACATCAACTCCAGCGACATAATTAACACACTGGAGTTGCATATCTTGAGTCGATCTTGACCTTTAGTGTAGACTTGGCCTGGGAAACAATCAGAGTGGCTCAGCTTACTATAGCACAAAGAATCAGGGGATGTTCTCCCAACCATCCTCGCGACCTTGGCATGGGTGACAGCTACACCAGTGAGAATACAGTAACTCAGGTAAGGACTTTGCAATGTGCCTGCTCAAACCTAGGTAAGGCCCAACTGGGTGCCCATCACCACATTAACTCTGCCAAGAAGACTTGCTTGTGGGTGCCTACATCACAAGTTGAGTATATCCCAGCTGCAGTTGCTCATTGGCACCTGCTGTTAGATTCTCCCTCCTGCTATCAGAATGGGTGAAGAGGCACAGGTCTCATGTTTCTGCATTTTGAGGAGGCTGGTTTCTCCACACTAACAGAATGGGGCAAAATCTCCTTTGATGCACTGTGGCTTTTGTCATTTCCCTTTATGAAGGCTGATAACTGGCTCCTGTTATTTCCTGTAAGCCCAATTAAAAAAAGCACCAGGTGGATTTTTGTCTTTTAGACTAGTCTTCACCTGACTGCAATTTCTCAAGTCCAAAGAGCCTTCCCCCACAATGCCGGACTGAGATTGTTTAGCTTTAAGAGACTCAAAAGTTGGTTGGCTACTAGCTAACAGCTACAGCCAGCCTTTTTGCTGTGACTGCTGACTCCTTTGTGAACCTAGAGTATGGGAGTTTGCTGCGTCCCTCTCCCTCTGGCTGGGCTGGGCAGGACAGGGGGCAGATGGGCTGTGCTCTTTCCTCTCAGCCCCTGACAAGCAAGCAGCCCTGGTATGAATCTCAGAGCAGAGGCTTCTGTCCTCCATGCACCCCAGCCCTCACCTCTCCTCAAACACCCCAACCCTGACCATTACACCCCCCATGCATGGCCATCTCCCCTGAGCCCTTCTTCACCCCCCAGTCCTGAATCCTGCACCCTTTACCAGTCCCTAACCCTGACTCCTGCACCTCCCACTCCCTCCTGAGCAAGCCCCCTGCCCTGAGCCCTTCCTCACCCCCAACCCTGACTTCTACACCTTCCACATCCCAATCCCTTCCCTGACCCTCGCCACACCCTGCCTGCATTCGACCTGCATTCGACCTCACACTTAAATTTCCTACAGGTACTGTTGTATCACAACCACCCCTAGACTCCCTGCATTCGACCTCACGCTTAAATTTCCTACAGGTACTGTTGTATCACAACCACCCCTCCTCCTGCTCTGAGGGCCCCCCAGGCAGTGCAACAGAACCTTTAAGAAATAAAAGTTACTTTCACCTCTGCTTACATAGCACCTTTTACCACTGTATCTGAGCACTGCCCAGTCTTGAATATATTTATCCCAGCAAGGACAGCACTGTTATCTCTAAATTACTAGTGGGCAACGGAGAGAGACTCTAATGGGGAACTGAGGCACAGAGAGATTAAATGACTTGCCCAAGGTCACACAGAATATCTGTGCTGGCACATGGAATTGAAGTCCATGCCTTTCAAGTCCCAAGCTAGTGCCCAAGCAGCTGCCTCAGAGTTCCTCCCATCCTCATTGATTTCCACCTCTGCAATAGGGATGAGAGTACAGTACTCACTTTCCCCACTCTGTTTTGTCTGTTTACATGGTGGGTTTTTCAGGACAGGGGCAGTCTCTTATTACTTGTGCAGTGCCTAGCACAGTGGGTCCCTGGAGCTTCCCAGTCCTTTGGGAGTATAAATAAGTCATACTAAGGTGGAAGGGAAAGGAGAGCTCATGAAAGACACGGAAATAATTGCATTGGTGAATGTTTTTTCTTCCTGGTAAGGAGGCCAACAGGGCACCCTGCAACTGTGGTTACTACATACTTTATATGCACATACTGGAAGTGATTTTCCTATTTATGTACTTCGCTGCCAACATCATGGTTTTTGATTCCCGACAGAGTGGCTGTTTGGTTTTAAGTCTTGGAAGTCGTCACCTCATCTGTTCCGTCCTTTTAATCATCATTGCTGCCTCCCACCTTGTCAGCCTTCCAACTTTCAGATCCAAGGCAAACCACGTCCAGTGCTGCCTGGGAAGCGTTCCAGATGTATTGTGAGGACACAGAAGCTCTTGACATTTTCCCCATTGTTATTAGCATTTCCTTAATCAGCCACAGTATCACAGGCAGCACTTAATATGCATTTAGGGCAAATGGTAGGCAAGTAGCCAGTTCTCAGGTGCTGAAAAGAAGTTTCTGTTAAAGTGTCTTATTGGCAGGTCCCTTTTTTCTTCTTCTTCTTCTTCTTTTTTTTGGTTTTGTTTTGTTTTTACTGTATATGTATTTTATCTGCACTATGCAGATGTCACTAGAGCTCTTGCCTGTGCATACCTGGCTCCCACTGAAGCTTCCTTTAACTGCAATGGGAGCTGCATTTGTGCAACTAAGCGCAAATTTTAACCCTTAGCATCTTTCATTTCTCTTGTAGCAGGGTCCCCCTGTTTGGCTTCTAGGTGATATTTGCATAAGTTAAGGTAAGGAGCCCTAGGCATCAGAGGAAGTTCCTTTGCGAAAGGTGTGCAGCATTGCATTTGATAACTGAACCTTCAAGAAATAGCCCCAAATACAGTTTCATCCCATGATAACACATCGAGAACTCACTGCACGTGCTCCTTCTTTTAGCCTCCCAGTAAGCTACCTTCTCCTAGCACAAGGCGGCGTTTACCAGTCCCACACAGCATTCTGGGAGTTGCAGTTCTGCTGGTGCATAATTAGCAGCAGGCATTTTTGAACCATCACAGCTGTGAAGCTGAATCTATCTTCAAAGGGATGAAATAAAGAAAGACATGGAACTTTTTTGACAGAGGCTTTCTTTTAGGACTCCCTGAATGGAGTCCTCACCATGTGTCTGGTTGTGTACAAAGGTTGTGTTCCCCTGTTGTTCCGATCCCTAGTAAAGTTTGTCCTTTCTACCACTACACTGTCTCAATCACTGAAACTGTGCGATGGCCATTTTTCATGGAGTCCTGTAAAATGTTAGATATGAAGACCCTCAGGCGGATCATCCATAATCCACACAGATGAGAGGGAGTGGCAGATGGCTGAGTTAGGGAGGCTTGTGGGCTGGTGAAGGAGGATTTTTGCAGTTGGCGAATGGTTCTTTCTGAGGCCAGGGCTACACTGTGGGGGGAAGGTCGGCTTAAGGTACACAACTCCAGCTACGTAAATGTCGTAGCTGGAGTCAATGCACCTTACGTAGAGCTTAGCGCCGTCTCCACAGTGGGAGGTCAATGGGAGAAATGCTGCCGTTGACTTCCCTTACTCCTCGTAACAGTGAGATATACTGACACTAATGGGGGCTCTCTCAGCATTCCACTTAGCGGGTCTTTACTAGACCCACTAAATTGAGCCCCAGAAGCATTTATCCTCTAGTAAGTGAAAACGTGGCTTGACTTGCCATTCCCTCCTCCCTTTCCTCCAAGGATGGAGCATACCTAAAGCAATGGGGGTATACATGGCACATACCTGAATGCATAGTCCCGATTCTACTAGAAATGTATTCAGCACTAAAACTGGTGCATTATTGCTACCAGAGATTTCCAGCACTTATTTTTTGTATAATGAAAGCTCGATTAGCTAAACTAATTATGACCAAAGGGTTTTGACAGAGACACAGAGAGGCAGAGATGTGTTTGCTCAGATAACCACCAGGTTCCAAATGAGAGACTATGGGAGTAATACATGAAAGGAGTTGGTTTTTCTATTTAAATTTCCCATTTAAGTACTTGTAAAAGCAAGTCACAGGAAACAGGTCCACAGAGAGCGCTCGAGTAAGTGAACAGTTTGGTTAACTGAGGTTTGGATAATCATGTTTGTACACTATCTGCAGCAATCCATGTAGGTATTCCCACCGGCAATACAGGGTTAGCCATGGAATAGTGATGAGAAAAAGGCTCAGCTGAGCGGATTTGCACATAATGCAGCTAATCCGTGCCGGAATAATTTCCTCCTCTTTTATTTTGCAAACAGCTCTGCATTTCCTTTTCTCATCCGGAGTTTCAAATGAGAGTTGCAGCCCCAGAATGCTCCCTTTCATTTCTGTTACTGGCAGTCACCAACTGGCCCAATTGAGCAAAGTTATCCATTGCCAGTCTGAGGAGAGGGGATGGTGAATAGGAATGAAAGGATTTGCATAATGTGGGGTGCTTGCATTGCCTTTATTCTGAGTATCCTGTACGTACTAAAGAGGGAGATCAAATGTACATATTTTAAGAGCAGAGACCTTCTTAGTAGCAGACCCAGAATTTAGGATTGAGACAAAAGAGAAGGGAGGCTGTTATGTTTTCAAACAACCATCCAACACAGGATGCCCTTTTAGTTTGTAAAGCTTGAAAGGGAGTCTAAAAAGGTATTGAATATTTTCAGAAGCTTCTTCTATTTAGCTGGAATCATCCTGGCACATGTTTACTGTATGCAGACTTCCTGAGACATTTTTACATAGGAGTTGCAAAATTCCAACGAAATATCTGAAAAGCCACGAGATCCTGTGCAAGCCACAGCTCAGAGCATAGCTACACCGAGCAATTACCAAGCAACTAGATAGCTACACCGAACATGTTACCTGCCGGCCACCCTTAAACTGGCATTCAGCACAGATGTTTACTGGCAAACTGATTTTCCCTTTCATGGGAGCAATGCTAGATTCCCATTGACAGGTTGATTACTCCATTTTCTTCTGTAACTTTAAAATAATTTCCAATCCTAAATTCAACATGCTGGCTGTTACAATCCCAATAGTTTCTGAACCAAGATGTCCTTCTGCCTTGGCTGAGAATTTCAACAATCTAAGTCAGTATCAAACAAATGTAGGGAGCTAATGGATTTTCATAGCTTAAACCTGCTATAAAAACAAGGCACAATCTTTGGCTCTGTAAAATGTGCATTTCCAGGTGTCTTAATGGATTCAAGCTTATTGATTTCCTACCTGTGCATCTATTAAGAGGTGTCTCATCAACAACATGGAGTTTTTCAAAGACTCTTTTTCATTGGGCAAGAAAGTATCTTCATCCTCATCCAGCATTTTTGACTTGTTCACGATAAAATGCGAGATCTGGTCATTTAGGGTATGCAATGACTGCACAGCTGTGGGAAGAGAGAAAGAAAACAAAGAGCACTGAAACCATGCAGTCGGACTGGCTGGAATCACTGCCAACATCTGAAATGTCCAAAGGATGGGCGGATGTTATCATATTCTGGAGAACTAATTAACCAAGGGTTAAAACATACATATTAACAGTTGAGACAATAACATATTACATTAGATTAAATATTTTACTACAGCAAGCAGATCCTACCACACCTTGACTGTATTTAGAGTCTATGGCTATGTCTCCACTCGCCGCACCAGAGAATAACTCCTTTTTGTGCTACAGCTTTTGCACAAAAAGGCATGTGTGAATGCTCTGCAGGGGTTTCTTGTGCAAAAAGAGCCTATCAGAAAAAGCATAGCTGCTCTGATGGCCATTCTGTTAATGCATGCAGTGTGGATGCTCTCTTGCACAAAAGCACATCGCTTTTGCAATGTGCTTTTGAGGTGTAAATGCTCTTTTGTGCAAGAAGTTTTCGCAGAAGATCTCTTCTGCAAAAAGCTTCTTGGCCAAAAACCCCGTAGCGTAGACAAAGCCATAATGTGCAAGATCCATTTCCCTGGCTGGTAGATACGCTAACACTGTGTGAGTGTGTCTACTAGCCAGGCAGTACACAACTACACAATAGAGAGGAGGGGGCCAGGACTAGGCCAGGGCAGGATGGAATCCCCAGGGCCAGATTCGTCCATGAGCCCCGCCAGGATCGTGTGTGGGACGGGCAGCACCCTGGGATCTGCCTGTGCCTGCGCCAGGCCCGCTCCCCGCCAGCCAATTCTCCCCTCTCCCACTCTCCCCCCGCTTATACTGTTGGCCTTCACAACATTGGCTGACAACGAGTTCCCTGGATTGATTCTGTTGTGTGAAGAAGTACTTCCTCATGTTTCGGCTGGCAACGAGTTCCCTAGATTGATTCTGTTGTGCGAAGAAGTACTTCCTCATGTTTGTTTTAAACCTCTGACTTGTTAATTTCACTGAAAGCCTCCAAGTTCTTGTGTTATGTGGAAGGATAAATAACATTTCCTTATTCACTTTCTCCACAATGTTCAGGATTTTATAGACCTCTACCATAGCCTCCTGCAGTCATCTCTTTTCTAAGAACATTCTTTTTAATTTCACCTCATGTAGAAGCTGTTTCATTTTGCTAATCATTTTTGCTGCCCTTCTCTGTACTCTTTCCAATTCTAATGTTCCTTTTTTGAGTTGGGGTGACCAGAGCTGCACATAATATTCAAGGTGTAGGGATACCATGGATTCATGTTGTAGCAGTAAGATATTTTCTAATCAGTCTATCCCTTTCCTAATGGTGCCTAACATTCTCTCCACTTTTTTTTTTTGAGTGTTGCATATTGAGTACATGTTTTCCGAGACTATCCACAATGACTCAAAGACCTCTTTCTTCAATGGTCACAGCAAAGTTAGAAATTGTTATATCATTTGGAGTGCCACAGTTTAGAAAGAAATCACTGGAAACAGAGAGCTTGATCAGTTGCAAGTGTCCATTTATTTCATATCACAGAACTATCTAGAACCAGCCCAAACCGGCTGGGCTGACCCCTAGTGACCTAACTCAGTTACTATAACAACAAGATCTATATCTACAACCCCAATACTCAACAGACCTCATCACTTTGGATGCACAGTTAGTTATAGGGTAATTTCAGGGTTTGTGCTTGGTGTTGCACTGATAGCTCAGGAGAATGAAGTTCTCATCATCACAGAAGAGCTTTCCTCATCCTGCCCTGCCATTGTGACTCAACCCAGACCTGAAGGGACCTCTTCTAGAGGAGAAAAGGGAGTCAAGTGTGCTTCATTCACTCCTTGATTTCTCCGCTGAGAATGCTATCAGACAATGTGAAATGCAGCAGTGGCTTTTGTGATTGCTGGGCTGAGTCCAGTTCCCAATCTAGAGGGGAAAGTCTCCTTGTGCCATCACCAACTTCTAGACAGTCCTCTTCCCTGTCTGAACAGCCTCTTACAGCCAAACTTTTGCAGCATCAAAAACTCATTCTCTTAAGATTAAGAGTGTGACACCGCAGGCAAATAGGGTTGCCAGATACTTTCACAAAAAATACCGAACATGGAGGGAAAAAAATTGGTTGAGCAAAAAAAGGGGGACCAAAGTTGTTGAGCAAAAAAAAAAAAACACTGCACCTTTAAATCCCCATGCTCTTCACTCCCCACATCTGAGAAAAACAGAAAATACTGGACATTTTACATGTCAGATATTTTCTTTTTCTTTTTTATCAAACAGAGGCTGCAAATACTGGGCTGTCCAGGCCAATACCAGACACCTAGCAACCCTACAAGCAAATGGGTTACAAAACAGGGTTTTTGCTCTGCATATGTTTAATTATTACCACCTATTCTTGCATGAGTATGTAGTGCTTCATATGACAGAACAGGACAGCAGCATTCATAGGCTGGGAATGCCTAGTGGTAAGGGGCGACTGTGTTACAAAATAATATTTTTGGCTAATGTATTACACTAGCTTCTAGAGGCCCCGACTGAAAATGAGGAGTCTTTGTGCTGAACTTTATGACTATACATAAGAGAAAAGCTCAGCCGTCAATGGCTTACAAATCTAAATAAACCAGCCAGACAGCGGCACGCTATGAGCGTGAAGTGAGTGACTGGCACCAGGACACACAGCAGGGTAGTGTCAGCACTGTGATCAGACCCACTCACAGCGGGGCAAAGAGGGACAAATGCCCTGGGGCCCAGTGATTCAAAGGGGCCCATGGCTCCCAGGCCCTGGGGCAGCAGCTAGAGCCTCCCAGGCCTTTTAAATCACCACAGGAGTGCCACTCCACACAATGCAGGGGAGGGGGAGCAGCACGGTGGTTCAAATGGCACCACATTCAAAGGGCGGAGGAGGGGAGAGGGAATATATGGAAGGCCAGCAGCCCCACCCCCCACTAAGGCTCAGTACCAGGCCCCCTCACACTTTTCCTGGGGGTCCATAGAAGCTATCAGCTCTCCCTGACTACAATTAGAACCCAGATCGGCTGACTCCCAGGCCAGCTACCAATTCACTAGACCATGCAGCCCAATGAGAGGACAAGGAGAAAGCGATATGAAAAAATAGAGAGTGTATGAGCTGTGGGAGGCAGAACCAGAGAGAGAAAACCAATAAAACTCTATAAAATGTGCCTTTGTTTTTATATACTGAATACCAGGACATGAAATATTAATCTACCTTTAGCAATCTAGGGCCAAACCCAGATGAAGTATGTGGGGGAATTCTGCCCCTGCTCCTCTTCCATGTAAAAATACATCAGCTGCTACATGTTTGTGGTTCATCAAAGTCCCCAAGCAAATGCACTTTATGATCGTGTAAGTTATATGAACCATAATGAGATGAACTAATGATCAAATTTATCTCTGCATAATAAAAGCCTTTGTGTTTCCACCCACTGGAAAAATCTATGATGCAATTTGCACTTAAACCATCACAAGTTTTGAGTTTTCATCTTCACTGTAGGCCTGTCAAATAAATGAGCCTCAAATTATTCTTCAGTGTATCTTTTTTCCCCCCTAGTTTCAGGCAGTAAACCGCTGCTAAGCTTCAGTTTATGGTAGCCTATTATTCCGAACTGTACTTTGGCTGTATTTAATGTATATTTGCCAGTCCTCATTTGCCAAGGTTGTTTATGAATTAGGAATTGTGTGTAGAGGTCTCTCATAATCTGATTTTAAAAGTGTTCGGCAATGAAATTAGAAAAGGAAATACTTCTTCAGACAGTGGGCACTCGATCTGTGGAACTTGCTGCCACGGGATGTTCTGAAGGCCGAGAATATAAATGGATTAAAAAAAGAATTAGATATGTTCATGGAGGACAGGCCCATCCATGGCTCTTAGACAAGATGGTATGGGATGTGACACCATGCTGCAAGTGTCCTAAGTCTCTCAATGCCAGCGGGTGAGCCTGGATAACAGGGGACATATCACTCAGCAACTTCTCTGCTCTGTTCATCCCCTCGGAAGCATCTGGCATGGCCACTGTCGGAAGATGGGATACTGAGCTAGACAGACCATTGGTCCGACCCAGTATGGCTGTTCTTATGCGTCACGTATATAAAGGGGTTGGGGTAGAGCATGGATGGGCAACTTAGGCTAGTGGGAGGGGCCTATGAGTGGTCCTCCATCTCAGTGGGCCACAAGATTGCCGTAATCAAGACCATCTCCCGGGATAGGGTAGTTTTGCTCACTGTGCTTGCGTACCTAGAATTTGCAGGGTGTGCCGACTGAACCATAGCAGCGCTTTGATTGGATGCAAAGGGAGCAGGTGGCTCTCAATACATGTGTGCAATCAGCACGCACCTCACTTCACGTACCCTTGTGGGTCATGTTAATACTACTCGTAAGTAAAAAATGACATGGATGGAAACCTGCGGAATCGATCAACCTGTGCGTGAGCAATGGTAAACAAAATGTCTCATGGGCCACATATCAAATCCCGATGGGCCACGGGTGGCCCTCAGACCTCAGGTTCCCCACCACTGGGGTAGAGTGATTGATATCCCGCACTTGGGGTGGATGAATCCCAAGCACTGCTGCATGCTGGGGACCAACTGACAGGACTATGCAGCACTTTAGGGTATGTCTAGACGACAGGGTTTTGTCGACAGAAGCTTTGTCGACAGATACTGTCGACAAAGCTTCTGTCGACAAAGAGCCTCTAAACTACATCCAAGCCGCTTTGTCGATGTGACAGTAGAGATGCAAAAGACAGTGTAGCTTCAATAATGCCTTCTGTCAACAGAACTCTGTCAACAAAAGGCATTATTCCTTGTAGAATGAGGTTTACAGCCGTCGACAAAACTGCTGAGTTCTGTTGATGTTATGTCGACAGAACTCAGTGGCAGTGCAGACGCACGTATGGTTTTGTCGACAAAAGTCCACTTTTGTCAACAAAACTCCATAGTCTAGACATACCCTAGGCTGGCAATGACTGGTAAAAAGAAGGCACAAACATCCACAAGCATGATGGCAG